ATATTGTAAATCTAATCATTAGATAGTGCCAAATGGTTTATAAAAAACTTAGTGACAAATTAATTATATAAAAATTAATGACAATAATAATTTGATGAAAAAATCAGCTAAAATATATGGAAAGCGATAGATTATAATGTTAATCACTTAATGAAGATCCAAATTAAACAAAATTGTTTTATTTTAAAAGATTGTTTGCTTATAATCCTAAGAATACGATATTCTAATATTCCATAGGAATATTAGATTTTCTTCAAATAAAAAATTCATATTAGAGGGAATACATATAAAAACTTCAGCCATAAATTTTTATACTCAAGGAAAGCTTTATAAACATAGTATATAGAATCTTTTAACCTAATTGTGAAACAACTGATAAGAAATTTTATCGTTAGTAAAAAAGAGTTATAAATTATATGATAAAGATAAAATTTATGAAGGAAACAATAAAGTTTCAAGTTGTTTTCTTCTCAATAATTGTCAGAAATTAAAAGTATCTTCACTAATTTAAATTATGGAATGTAGAATAATTAATTTTCTAATAGTCTAGTTTAGATTTAACAAATAAAAGTTATTTGTTTTTAAATTAGATAAAAGTTAGTTTATAAATCAGTTTAAATTAATACTAATAACTAGAAACCTGATGAAGCATTATAAATCAATTATTGATTTAATTATTGATTTAATATATTTTATAGCAGCAAGCCAGCAAATTTTGATAAAATAGTATACAGTTTAGGTATAAATCATATTAAGTTTAATAGTTAATAAAACTTTACTGAAAATTAAAAAACAATATTCAATTTAGATTTTTTAACTATCAATTATAAGGGGATAATTTTTAAAATATTAAATTATTGTTATTTATTTCGTATATATAAATCAATTCATTAATTAACAAAATGATAAAGATTTATTACCTGGAATTTTTGAAAGTGTTGAAAATTCTAAAATTTAATACATTATATATCACAAATTGCTTAAATACAATTTTTTGAAGTTAAACATAAACTTGTTAATTATTTGGATGAGATATATGATATGGTTTGTTATACTCATAGTTTATTGAACACATTCTTTTTATATAATTAGACTTAGATAGAGGTTTTTAAATCTTCTTCTTTTTGGAAAGAATTTTGTTATTATATGACATCATCATACAGAAAGCCATAAAAAGCACTATAAATAAGTAAGAATTATTTTAGATGCCAAACTTGGTTTACTAATTGTTGATATGGATGATTGTATATATAATCCAACAATTCGAGGATGTTTGAAAAGATCATCCAATTTAGATTGTTTTTAATCTCTAAACACCAACATATATGATAGTCATCAAAAATAGTATGCTTGGAATCCTAAATGTACTGTAATAGATAATTTCATATCAAGAAGGATGCAAGTTACAATAGTGCTCTCAATATAAAATAATAAGCAATTGCAAATTAACCTTAACAGTAGATCATTTTTATATTAAACTTGTTCTTCTTTTCAAGAGTAATAATGCGCAATTATAGTTTTTCAACAACCTTGTTAATCGGATTATACAAATAAATCATGTAAATCTGTTAAATGTAATGATAATACTACTGGTACTACTGATAGTGAATATTTAAAATGGAGAAGAAATTATGAATGTTAATTAAAAATAAATTGAAATGGAAGTTTTGAGCCTGGTGGTGAAATATACCAGAAGATTGCAAATAAATTATAATAATTATTCCTATTTTTTTCTACAGATTCAATAATCTGTAATCTTTTAATTTGAAAGGATAATCCTGCTTTTATATTGAGGAGAAGAAAAAATTTAAATTGCTAACAGCTGATAATTAATGTGAATTGGAGACTTTTACAAAAAGTAATGAATAATGCTAATATTATTATAAAAATAGCATATTATAATAAGAAGGTTCAAATTGTATTTCATTTACTAAATGTTCTAAATTAAATTAAAATACTTGTGGGAAAGCTTAAACGTCATTGAATTAAAAGTGTGCATATTATTCTAAAAATTGTAGATCCAAGAATGTTTGCTCAGATATAGAAAACTATTAGAATGTTAGAAATTTTCAGCAAATTATCATTATTCTTTAGGCTATTGTATAGAAATTCAGATTGTGATTAACTATCAGTTTTTGGAAGAATTCTATGCAACTCTGCTAACTCAATAAGTTATTAATTATGCGAATTTAATTCATAAACAAGTAAATGAGAAAACAGAAAGTATGAGCATTTAAACCAACATTAAAAAGTTAAGATTACCTTATGATGGATGTTATTAATGTTAATCTTAATGCTCATATGACTGTCTTAATTGTTTTTTCAGGATAAGCCTGTAAAAATGTGATAATTTACAATAATCTCTCACATTTTGATCATGCTTTAAAACTCAAGTCGCAAAGGGTTTGATCTTTGAAATGAAAAATATAATTTCACTACGAAAAAATATAATTGAAACTTACGTTTTGTTTTATTAGTTTTGTTAAAAATAAGTAAAACAAATTGAATATATTTATTGATTAATTCAAAATTTATTATTGCGGGTTATGATAAAAAAATATTATCATAAATACAACTTCGAAAATAATCTATGAGATATTAAAATAAAGATAAATAACAAATAATAAAAATGTTCAGAAAACCTTATAAAATAAAAATTATTTATAAGAAATCATCGGTTCCCACTGACACACAAAGCCTTTTTTTTCTTTAATAGGTAAATTTATACATTTTAAAAATTACAATTCATTAATCATCATATTGATAAGGGATTTCTTGGTAATTTTATTTTTTTGGAATTTAGTGTATATTTAGGTATTTATATTGAATTAGATAAAAAATTTTGTTTTACCAAAGTATTGAAGAAATCAACTACATAATTAGACTGAAAAAAACAAAAAATTTTCTTTTGAAGAAATGCAATTCAACAACCCAGATTGAAATTAAGGTTCAATCAATTATTCTTGAGTTTTATAATCAATAAATACTTATTTAATAATAATCAAATGAGCTAAACTTCTCAGTAAAGATTCCGTTGATAGCATGATTATTATTTAAGAATTAAATTGTATTTTTGTTAAGATCCAGATGAGCATAGTGAATTAAATAATTCTAAATTCGATTCCCTTTTTGCACATAATCATAGATATTAAAATAAGGCATTTGTTTTAAATTATTAGAAATAAAATGATTCAACAAAATGTTTTTTGTTAATCTTTAATAAACTTTGCTATATTTATTTGCATTCAATAAATTTTGTTTTAACTTAAAAATTATTCTTAAAAATTATAGGATATGTTATAAATTATCAAAAACTATTTACTAAATCAAATTTTAATCAATTTAACTAAGGGCATGAGCATAAATTTCCTTAATAAGTTTTGTTTTTAAATTAAATACAAAGTTAAAGAAAATATATTCAAGTGGAACAAAATAGAATTTCAGTTTGTAATTTAATTTTTAAAATTTTTCAAAAAAAATTTTGCTATTTTTATATAACCAACTTCAAATATCAAATTATTACATTTTCCTCACAAATGTAATAAGATAATCGTTTTGCTCTTTTTTTTTAGATATCAAATTGATATAAAATAATTGATGTATTTATAGAGTAATCTACAATTAACATATTGGGTTATGAATTTAATTTCAAACTTTTTAGTAAAAATGTGTCAATTAAATAAATTTTATGAAAAATTTGATTATAAATATATATTAAATTAGATGCTGAAAATCATTATGATATCGAAATATTTAAAAAAAAATAAGCTTTAAAATAGTTGGGAATATTTTTAAATTACTATCGCAAATACTTTTATGATAAGAATCATTTAAAATCTTATTTTTATAGAAAAATTCAGAGATAGAGAAAAATTGAATTTACTTATATATATTTACTAATATATAATTTAAAATAATATCAATTTTCATTTGCTCACTTCTAATGAAGAAAAAAAAATTTTTAGTTTGATATAAAACTTTATTTTTACACTTTTTTAGTCAATACTAAATAATTATTTATAAAAATGAAGAATAATGAATTGAAAATAATTTATTTTTTTTTAATAATAAATTATATTATCGAATTTTATTGAAACCAAAATTTTAAGATAGCGGATTTCTGCTATCTTTTTGATAATTTAATTAGATTAATATCTATATTATATAAGTTAATTTATGATATGTGATTAAAATAATAGAGGAGAATTTGGCCATGATTAATTTTATCGTATTATTTTATGGCTTAGGTTTACTACAAATCACCTTTGATAGATGATTAAACTTCCTACTTTTGGGAAAGGAAATTTCTCTAAGTCTTTTTAAGTTTTATAGTATCTTAAGAAGTTGTATTAGAGTGAGAAAAGTTGAAATATTTTTGAGTATGATTAGGAAATTGTGAGATCTCTTTAATTTCTATTTTTTAAATTTTATTAAATATTAACACTTTGAATCTTTGTAATTACATTATTTATTATGATGAATTAAATTTGATATATTTAATTAAGAAATTAGTTTATTTCTACTAATAATGACTAGAGTTAAGAGAAAAGATATAAATATTGAAATTATTAATATAAATTAATATAATATTATGTATGATAATATTGAATATATAATTCTCTCATTATTTACGAATTTATTTTAATGGCTTTTAACTTTCTGGTAATTATTGAAAGTAATTTATTATATAATTCTAGAATTAGTCATCATTTTAAAATTGCAATTATTTAATCAATTTATCTAAATTCTCTAAATTTAATACTTCTCCATATGATTTAAGTTTGTTTACAAAATTGAATAATTCAGTATTATTAGATGCATTAATTATTAATTTAGCTGTACCTGTATTATTATTATTAATATTTGTTTAATATTTTGCTTAAGCAAAACAAGTCAATTAAATGATAGTTTTTAAATATTGATTTCCTCCAAATATACCACATCCCCATCGTCCTGTTGAAATATTTTAATCAGGTGCTTCTTATAAAGCGATTAAAAATCCTAGGTAACATTTTCTTCATTTCTCTGTCTAAATTTTCTTTATAAAACTACATTTAGTTTCCATGAAATGGTTTTGCATCAATCGCCTAAATATTTAATATAATTACTAGCATATTAAAGTTGTAATTTATCCAATCCTATTATTATTATTTCCATTTGAAAGATTACTCATATCCAGAATAATTTGAAAATTTCTTTATATTTTTAATTAACACTGCTTCATCAGCCTTCATAGGAGGAATAAATATCATAGATACTAAGGCTTCTGGATAAATAAGCATAAGAATCTTAATTATGATATAATAATTATATACTTCTTCCTAAGCACAATTATAACTATCCAATGTCAAACCCCCAATATTTTCATCTGCAAAGTCAACTACAGTTGAATTCATTTAATCTTCATTTCTACGATTGGTTATTTCAATATTTATATTCTTTTTACTAATATCATCTACTTTGTAAGAAAAAGCATCATTTTAAGTATTTTTTATGAATTTAACAATGTCATTTATAAATTCTATATTTTTCTTATTTTTATAGAATTATTTGATATAATTTATTATGCATTACATCTTCTATTAACAAAGGAAAGAAGAATTCTTGATATATTCCATATTAATTATGTAAAATCCTCCATATTGTTTTTTTCTATTTATTAATTAAAGAAACATTGATATAATTAAAGTAAAAATTTCTTTTCTTGTAAGTTCTACCATTTTATCTTTATTCCAACTTTCTTTAATTCTTTTTAATAAATCGTCTAATTTTTAATTATTTTAAAAAATATTTTCTTTAAGATATAGAAGAAATTTGCCATCAGTTTCTTTGTCAATTTTCTGAAATATAACTTCCTTATTAATTCGTTCATCATAATTATTATCCACTAAATAACATTCGAAATCGTTATCTTGAAACATTTTCTATTACAACATTATTTTTATTTTTAATAATTATTTTATAAAATGGATTTTAGAATACAGAAGAGTCTTTCACAGTCCCAAAGAATCAAATTTTCATCGAATTAATTTGCTACCTTATTGATGAATTATGAGTTTGATTTGCTAAATCTTAATATATTACTAATATTCATAAACTTTATTAGATAAATAATTTAGTTAAAACATAGTAATATGAAATAGTCTTAGATAAAAGAGAGGTTTGTTTTTTGATATAATAGATATATCTCAAAATTACACAAATTTTAATTGTGATTTGAAGCATAGTTGTTTAAGTATTTAATTTATCAGATAAGGGAATCAACGCAATACTTAATTTGATCTTTCCATTGTTGAAATTCCAAAATTTATTACCTTTGAAATTATTAAATACTCACTTAATAATAATAATAGCACATTTATTAGATGGGTTTTAAGGTGATTTTAAATACTTTTATTTTTGTTTATTTTTTATATATAATCTCATTATGAATCCTAGTATTTCTTTTAGATGAATTGTGAATTTTAATTATATAATTCCAGAATTTTTAATGTTAATGTGGAATTTCTAAATTATTGATAATTAATTTACAATTTTAGATTTATTATTTTTCTAAAAATCATGCTAGATTATACTACTTTTGGTTTATAATTTGATTGGTGAATATAATCCTTCCAATGCATTCTTACTTTTAATGAATTATATACCAAGCAAAATTTAAGAATTTAAAGGAAATTGAAAGATTAATTATTAAAAAATAGTCCTTTAATAAAGAAAGATTGATTATGACATGATCCATTCAAATATTCTCTCAAAAGATCAATTTATGTATTCATATTTTTAATCAGATAAAATGTATATGTTCTAGTTTATAAATTTAAATATTAGAAAATCAAATTTAATCTTTTTAAAAAACTTATCATCAAGATTCGAAATCTCGAAGTGAAAAAGTTCAATTAAAAGTATTAAATTATCAGAATATTTGATTTAGATAATAATATAAAAATAAAAAAAGTAATTAATTCTAAGGACTTTATTATAAATTTAGAACATTTAAATAGATAAGAAGGAATAAATTTAAAAAATATAAAGAAATAGATTGGATAAATATTTATACATAAAATGATATTAATAATGATTTCGAATCAATCAATAACATTTTCTAATTTAAATTTACTATGTTAAATTATCCCAAGTAGCCAAATATTGGCCATCTCTACTAATTGATAAATAAATATAATTAGTATCAAATGGAATTGATAATTCTGTTAAGTAATCTTCTTCCTAATATTTTCTAATAAAATTAATGTGAAAACCGTTTTTATTTACAATTAATGATTAATTTGATATATACAATAAAGGTGATAAGTAATCACAACTATTACCTGAGCTTACTTTTACATCTTTCTTTTTCTAAAATAGATTAGTATTTTCATCAAATTAATAGATATTCATTAATTTTGAAATCCATGGTTAAAAAGCGAATGTATTTTCATTTATAAAACAAATTCTATAACCTCTTACTTCTAGATTTATCCTTTATACTACAATCCAATTTATTTATTTATTTTTTTGTTCTAATACAAGAATAGTTCTATCATTTCCACATGTAATTAATTTATTTTAAGATGGATTTAAACTTATACTCCAGACCTATTCAGTATGTTCTGTAACAGTCTATAAAATATCCCATTAATCTGTTTTATTATAGAATTTAATTGATTTATCCCAACTACTGGAAATCAGTAGATCATCATTATTAACTATAATTAAACAAGTAATCCTTTCAGTATGATCATTCAGTCTTTATTTACAAAACCATTAATTATTACTATCTATTGCCCATATTATTATTGATTAATCTTTGCTTCCTGATATAAAATGATTACTATTTTTCATAAACTATAAACAACTAACATCATCCTTATGTTCAGAAACAATTTACTATTCTTTTAACTCTTCATTTATAAGTTTATATATTCTAATTTTAGAATGACTACCTGCAATTAAAATAGATGAATCATTATTAAAAGCCAATGCATAACATGACTCTTATTATTTTATACAATTTTATTACAATAATTAATAATTACACTCTTTAATTTCATTTGAATGGGGAATGATAAAAGTTTCATTTAAATTTATATTCATAAATTATTTTTGTATTTCTATTTATGTCTTATTATATAATTCTTATAAAATACAACCTTTTTAGTCCAAAATTTTCGTAGTTTCTATTTTTTAATTTTTTTATTGTAATTCTATTTCTTCTTTTAATAAATTTTCTTTATTAGAATTACTTATTAATTCAGCATATTAAATAATCTCCTCTTTAGAAATTGAGAAAATCGATTTAAAAGTCGATTAATTTAACTTATTATTAAAGTTTTTTGTAGTATCTATCAATAATTATTAAATTTATTTCATTTCATATTTAAATCGTGTTTGAAAATCATTTATTAATTACCAAACATTTTAATTTACAATAGCAATTCTTTTATTTAATTTTTTATTTTCTATTTACTTAGTTTTATCATAATCTCTTAATTATTATTCAAAATTTTCTAGTTTTGTAAATTTAATAGGATATTCTTCAATACAATCTATACATGCTAATCTATTTTCTAATGTTTTTTCTTTGTTTAAATCTAACATTATAATTTATTGGTTATGTTTTTCACAAAGTATTTTAAGCTTTTCTTTGTCCTAAGTTTGTAGAAACAATTAAGATTTTAATTATGATAAAGTAATATAAACATCAGTTTCAGATTCAAAAATTATGTTATTTAATATTGAATGAATTTAAGGTATAAAATCTTCATTATATATCAAATTAAGATTATTTTAAATTTAATCTTTTATGCCTTCGTAACTTATATTTAATTTTTCAACTTGTATATATTAACAGACAAGTTAATCAGCATTCTCTATTGGAATCTTGAATATTTGTATTTGTTTTTAAAATTAGTCGATAATATTTATTTATTATTCTATGATTTAAATATACTTATTAATTGATATGATTAACTTCTATTTGAATTATAATACACATTCCTTTATATTAATTAAACAATTAAGATTGCTTTAATTAAGTGATTCTCTTTTTGTTATTAAATTGATTAAAAGGTTTTAGATTAATTCTTTGAAATCTTCAATTAATATTAATTCATTTTTCAATTCCGATACACATTAAAGACATAAACTATTAAGTGATGGATCAAGTTCTGATTTATTCAAGAAAATCGCTTTCTAATTGTGTTTTTAGCACTACTACTCTTGCTGAAAATGTTTCATTATTTTGCTCTGAAATTATTGATTATATTTTAATTATATAAAATTATGAAGTTTTTATTTCTTCAAAATACCTTTAATTTTTCAACTCTTATTATATTATTCCTAATATTTTCATTTTAATATTATTTATTAAAAACTAGAATAGCAATGAGTTATTCTCTAATATGCTAATAATATCCTTCACTGGTTGAAATAAAATAATTATTTATAATAAATTATCCATCTAATATCAAATAGAGTCATATATTTGTGAATTATTAGAATTGGTTCTAGTAAAGTTTTAGAAACTTGTGAAAATGTTAAAAATATTAGCTTGCAATCATCAACCCCACATTTGAATATAAACTAGAATATGTAAGCAGAAATTAATCAGCTCATCTTCTAAATAAACATCTTTATGTTTAAATGCAAGGATTTTAGATTTAGAATATATTATTATTAAAAAATATGTGTTAATGAGTTTCAGATTAGAAAAGAATTATCTTTCTTATAACTTTTAAAGAATGGGCATTAATTTATTATTTTATAATATTAGATGATGATACAAAGTAATAAAAGATATTTTGCTTGAAAGCTTTTATTTGTATTTTAGTTAATTAAATTATTCTACCAGTATTATTAAGAATAAATTAATCTGTAAAGTTTTTATTAAATTAAGAATTACATAAATTAGTATTTTAAATATTAGTTTTATAAATAAAGATTATTTTATTAAATTAAGTATTCAAAATCATATATTGATATATATACTCTTAAATATAAAAACTATTCTAACTGTATTATTAATTTTTATTTATTAAAATTAGGAAAGTATATGCCAGATTTATGAGAATTTTACCTTAAATAGATCATAGATCATATATCATTAAAAAGAAAAAATAAGCATTTATTTACAAATAAAATAGTTTTTGTTATTTTAAATTTATAAATTAAGTGATTTTATATTGAATGTCATAAACTTATATAGTCATAAGTTTATGATTACTCTTGATATTCAATAATAAAATAAAAAAAAATTTATTACATAATAAAAATAGGCGTTAGTCATTCTTATCGAATTATTAAATAAATGAATAAAAATAAGAAAAAACCGAAAGATCATTAGATAATATTAATAACTAATTTGAAGATGAAAAATATTACCTAAATAAGTTTAAATTATCTAATAATAACTTAGAATTAATTTATTATCTATTTTAAGAATTAGGATTTTTACAAAATTCGTATTTAATTGAAATGAAAAATGTTTTTAATACCATTGTTCAATTAGATGTTTTTGGAGTTCCTATAAATCTTCTTACTAACGAAAAAGAGTCTCCTTTTAAAAGTAAAGTTGGAGGACTAATTACTTTAATTGCAAGTGGCATTAGCTTTGCATATTTTCTATATATAATATTAGAATGGACTAATAATTAGATACCTCCTAATATAAGTTTTAAGTAAGAAACAATTGGATATTCATAATTTCATATAAATGAAGCTATGATTTAATTGATACTTTTAGATTTCAGTGGTGATGTAGATCCTTTTTAGAAAGTAAAATAATATTGTTACTCCTAAATTATACACGATTGAAAATACAACTATAACTGATCCACCTATTACTTTATTTAGTAGTGGAGAATATCTTTTTACTCTATCTTTAACAAACATTACTTTAGTTTTAAACCATGAAATTTTTCCAAACGAAGATCATTAAAAAATGAAATAATATTTGCTTATTTTTGAAATTTGTTCTAATAATACTTTGAACAATGATAGTTACTGTGCTGATTAGAATGTAATTAATGATTATGTATAAAAATTTCATGGATTTTTATTTTTAACCATTAAATTAAATCAACTTAATCAAATCACAAGAGAGATGGAACAATTTAATAAATAATATTCTACTAGTTTTGATATATCTAATCCATAATATTCATAAGTTATGCTTAAATAACAAGAGACAATTATTGATGATGGTTTCTTGTTTAATAATTATCATAACTACTAATTTATTAATAATTATGAACTTATTCATCAATAAGTAGATTCTTATTTTGCATCTAAATTTTTATCTTAAATGTTAAAAGAATAATTAAATTTCACAAGTTTTGGATGTTATTTATTTAGATTAGATAATATTTCTATTAAAGAACTTGTTACTATGCCAAAACTAGGTTAAATTCTTGCTTAAGTGGGATCAATTGTTTAGGTGATATTTTTATTAAAATATATAGCCTTATTTTACAATAATAAACTTCTAGAAAACTAATTATTACATGAGATAGTTAGTATGTATTATCCTGAATTAAAAAATGTTAAATTATCATTATTTAATTAATATTAAATCAATGAACAGAATATCAAATGCACTATTGAAGATTTTAGAGTCAAATATAACTTTTTATTAAAAAGAGCTAAAGATAAATGTAAACTTAATAATATTTTGTATGAAATTTCTAGAATTTAGTTTATTATTTAATCATAATTTGGAGATTAAATCTTATCATAAAGTCATTCTCTAGGATCAAAATTATAAAACAATAATTTTGATATAGAAAATTGCAGAGAAACAAATAGATTAACAGTAAAACCTATTAATTCTATTGATTTAGAGAATGATTAAAATATTATAGAACCACTAGATATATTATCAAAATAGCCCTGAGATTAATAATAAAATTATAATTATTATATTTGGATATTATAATTAATAAGTTATATTCGCTCTTTTTTAAAATTATTTCTAATTTAAAATAAAAATCTCTGATTATAAATATATTTATTTTAAATCAATTATCTATTACTTGAAGCAAAATTTTAAATATTAATATTATTTAATTAAAAATATTAATCTCTTGAATTTTTAATTTATTAATTTCTAAAATTCTTTTTTGTTTATTTATAAAAGAGTCATTCAAATATATAATACTGATTAAATATTAAGAGTCTGATTTAATATATTAATTCATGTTAATTGATGTAAATGATTGTAAAAAAATTCAAAAAATTAAACAGCATGGTTCCTCTTCTTTTGTAATTTAATGATTAATCTCAAAACAGAGCTTATTTCCATTGTTTTCAATTTGATTTTCCTTCTTAATTTTAATGATTCTTTTTGAAGCTTCTTTAAAAACTTAATTTATTCCTTCCTAAGTTAAAGCAGAACATTCAAAGTATTAAATTTTATAAGCTTAGATGATTTTTTGAGCCTGATTTAATAAATTATATTAATACAAAAGAGTTATTTATGTGTTAATTATTTTTAATTTCTCGAAGATCAATTTTATTGCCAAGAAATATTTTAGGTATTTATAAATATTAATTTTAATTTAATTCAGGGTACCACTACATAATAATTAAAATTACTTTAGAAATAGCATGATCAAAAGAATTAGAATCTATCACAGAAAATATTATTAGGAATAAATCTGCTGATTCATAGTATGATGGTCTAAGTGATCTATAATCATCAGAACCAGATATTTCCTATAAATTTAAAATAATATTTTAATTTTCATCATTTTTATCTTAAATTATAAAATTTTCAAATGGTATAGGGATAAGATCAGGTTAGAATTGGCCTTTTTGGTAACTATATATTTATTATTTCAACTAAACCTGTAAATGACACTTGATTTTCCTACACCGCAATCTCCTATTATAACAAATTTTAATGATATTGCTTCTTTGAAATTTTTCATAAATTATTATTTATATTAAATTTTTTATATCAAATTATACTTATTTTTCCTTAATTTTGTTTAAGTTATATTATTTCTTTTATTATTTATTTTGACATTCGGATCTTCTGATTTACTTTTATTGAATTACATAATTTGTGTCAAGCTAAGATTGATATTTTAATGTTCATGATACGAAAGAAAACTAATATCAATAAAATGATTATTTGAGATTAAAAATTATCCAAATTTAATTTAAATTCATTA